TGCAAATGAAGAGTCTTTTTGTAATACTATTATGTACATACGACGAAGATATTTGATACAAAACCAATCGATTGTTGTCATCGACCAAAAGTAATTCATTTAAAAAATTGTACGTCACATTTAAATAAATAAAATAGTTATAAATTTATTGGCACAAAAATTCCCCATCTTCTATTAGTGATCAATGTTTTGTAAACAAATATTATTTCTTAACAAACTATGATAGATTTTTGAATTGCGAAAATTAGAGTGTATAAGCTTAATTAAACTTATACCACTTAATGTCATCTGTTCTACTGCTTGCGCAAAGATTTGCGGAGACCGAATAAATATTATATCCGTGCAACATCTCGTTGCGTAAACAAGGCTTAGTGTAGTGTATACCTATTGTATACGATGCTTTACTGCATGCGCAAAAAACAGCTTTAAAAATGTAAAGATATTTAGTGATACTGCGTACGCTAACTTCGTCGTAGCCCTCGTAAATGTTGCACGTAGCGCCAGCTATTGGTTTGCGCAAGATTTTCAGATCATTATATTTTTTCACGATAGAGTTTCCATCCATCTATACTAGCAGTTCCAATCTTTAGGAACTAGTAAGAGCCAATCTCATGGAAAAAAATTACCAGTCTAGTTTTGGCCGTTCCACCATCCAGCCTGGTGGCGTCAGAGAATTTTTGGCTACATATGTAAACCAGGGAAGAGAGCCCTGAGGAGCATGGGCAGCTACAACGGCTTCCTTCTCAGTGATCGTGTCCTCAACGGCATACCCACAGAAAAAGTATTCTCTAGGCCCATTTTCCCAACTAACGATGAGCGGTTAGTTATCCGGGGAATGACCCGAAGACAAAATATTCTTTGGTCAGCGGCGTACCTCTCTCCATCACAGTCTCCGTTCATAGAGACTTCGAGGGTAAGAGTCAAGCTACCCGCAGCCAGCTCTTCATCATAAGGAATAGCTACAAGTTTCTCCACCGGCCCTTTTCAGGGCCATTATAAGTATTTACGTTTCCGACTTAACCATCAATCTCATCGGTTCTTTTAAGGGCCACCTAAGTTTAAACTATCTTGCCAACAAATACATTTTTACTACCATTTCCGGAAGCGATTCGTCGACTAAAAGATTATGTTAACTAAAGACGGCCAATATTAAACCAAGTCAGTTATTCGCTGGTAGTCGTCACAAGCGGAGTTTTTCTTCGCAAGGCTGGGAACCCTGCTAACCGACGACCCCATTTTACCCTCTTGACTCCAAGCATTCAATCAGGAATCACTGATCCTCTCCAAGGTCTGCGCTGGGCAAACGTAACAGCTATGAAGGGAAAAAAAACTTGAGCCAACGGGACAGCCTCCACTGGACAAGTATCACGAACCGATCTTCCCATCTTAGATCACCAAAACAATTGAGTCTGCAAAAAAAATGATGCTTTAGATACCAACGTCTTCGACGTTATACCAGGAGACGTTGGCAAATATCTCTACAACTAGCTCCAAAGCTTTGGACTTTGTCATTTTTCTCCCGATTAGTCTGGGGCTTCAACAGCAAGCCAGAGAAGATCACCCTGAGATATCCAGGCAGTCACAATCGCTGTGAACTTCAGTCAAGAAAGAGTTTAATTAAGAAGCTCACCAGTCTTTTTTAGGGACATTGGAAGTCAAACTACCTTGCCAACAAATATATGAGAACTTAACAAAGTTGACAGAAAACAGCCTTTAGGGATCACGAAAGTCTTAAGCATGCCAAAAGTCGCAAGAGGGTGAGTTGAAAGAAAAATTTCAAATGTATCTAATAAATACAATTTTAGGCGTCAATAAACTGACGCCGAAAAATTTATCGAGATTGGAACAGCAGCGTTAAAATCGACAAATAAAGAATCCATTACGTGAAAGATCAGCTTTTCATTGTATTCTTACCGTAATCTCTAAAATCTTTCAGTTTTTTAAATAAGCCGAAAATGTATTTCTATTTTTGTGGCGATAACAAATGTAGAGATTAAGCTTCAAGACTTTGTTGCTCTGGTAATAAAGTTGTGAGATAAGAGAAAAAAATTTTTTATTTAGTATTATTTTTCGGGAGTTTTGAATCGTACAGCTCTAAAAAAAAGCTCTTTTTGTAAATTATACAGAAGAAACTGCAAATCAACGGCCCCTTATGGCCAACGATTATTTTATTGCACAAGGAACGCACAATACTTTGCAGTGTAATCGTATTTTTTTTGTTTCAGCTAATTATTTGGACAAATAAACTGTATGGATTCCGAACAAATATCTTTTTAATAAGATTTTCGTTTTGAGAAGTGTCAGGAATATATGTAAAATTTTTAACTGAAAACGTTTCACGTTACATGTCAACACACTACGGTATTCTATTTAGTAAGTCTCGGGCAAAGCCGAGACGGGGGTCCGCTAGTGTAAACATGTAGGGAAGAGAGATACGTGTGACTTGTCTCATCGAACCAGTAAAACATTAGTTTTTTCATGATCCCTTGGAACACGCAATGCATCTCGTCGATTGCCGTTGATTCAACATAATTTTTGACAAGTAAGCTTAACGGAGAAAGGCCTTCTATTCCATATACAACATTTCCCGATTCGTGAGCTTGTTTTTGAAGTATTTTTGTCTCCTCTGTAATACTACAATTAAAGTTTTAAACAAATCGGTACGTCTGCACATTTTCAACTCTTACAGTTTTAATTGTATAGTTTTGACAGCCATTTTTACCGTTGTATTTCGTCATATTTAAAAATAAAGCCTTTGCTGGCAAATCACATGAGTCACTGATGATAATTCCTCTAACATGAATCGATTCATTACCAAGGGGTGTTTTGAAGCAAACGATATTGTATAATTTTTTTAAATCGTCTTTGAAGACAGATGTAAATAAAACAGGATCAGATTTTTTTGCACCAACCCAAATTTCAGCAACGATCAAATTTTCTTTTTTAAATCGGATATTATAGGGTAATTCGTTAATCATTAAATAAAATAGCCAAATAATTAATTTTGAAGATTTAAATATTGGAATGCCGTCACTAAACCATGTAAATGTCACATTGTTGACTATTCCGGCGAAAGCCAAGATTCGAGCTTCGCCCAGATGCGTAAGTGCCCCCTCCTCTCATCTCTTCGAGAGCGAGTGCCTCCGAAATTCTCCGTTATTTTCCTTCTTCTCTCTCCTCTTATGCCTTTTTGTCTTCTAGGGGAGTGGTTCTCACGGATCTATCCCATGCGGGGAGGTTAGGTTTTATTCGGTAGGCACACCGGGTGAACACTCTACCACTGGATTAGCTGGGGTGTCTATGAAGATTTTACCCTCCCCACTCCATCAAACAAAAAAAAAAAAAAAAAAAAAAATCACATTGTTAAGATTTTTTGAAAAACTGTCCGGCAACGATTTGTATATAGAGACATTAAAAATATCCTCATAATTTGAATCAAGCTCCTTTTGTCTCGAAAACTTGTAATTTAAATTTTGACGGAAATCTTCTCTTTTGAAAATCCATTCTAGTTGAAGAATTATAGATATATCTAAAAAAAAATATTTTTCTTTTTTACTACAAGTCGAGAAAATGTCTATATGATTTTCAATTTTCAAGTGACAATTTTTACAATGATAGTGCCGATTGAGGGGATAGTCTATACTGGCAAAAAATTTTTTCAGTTTTTATACGGTTTTGATGCAATTATTCGGTTTATGCAATGCCAATTTATAAGAGACAATATATCAGCTAAAAGCGATCCCGTAATGTTATGACTCGTGAATAACGCAAATATAGAAAGAAAAATTTCCCCTAATGTTATTGGTGCTCCAGCCTAAATCGGTTCGTTTGATTTGTCGATTTCTTCGTCATCGCTATCATCAATGTCTGATTCTTCACTTTCACTGTCAGTTGTTGTTTCGATTGTATTTGATGAAGGGCTTTGTGTTGAAGAGACTTCACTGTTTTCTGTTACATCTGTTTGTTGATGTAAAAGAGGTACATCATATTCGTGGGGATCACTTTCACTGCGCGACGCTCGCTCATCCGTTAAATATGCTGCATTCCTCGTAACTTGGTTGCTTGGCGTATCCTCATTGTCACTTGTCTCATACTGGTCAGATTCATCTAAAAGTAAGTCACAGAATTAAAAAAATGTTATTTTAACACCGAATAAATTTATGATAAAATTTGTATTCTGCATTGCGTGCATTGCATGGCAGTTTATTAGAGCGCCTGTGTCAAGGAACTGGCACCGATTGGATATGTTGCTCGCAAGCCTCTCGGCACACTGCAATAAATGTAAATATCGACACATTGGATTTTGAAGTCGGCTAGCAAGCCTCTGCCAAGGCCCTGCAAACACACTGTGACAGAGCCCGAGCTCTGTGTTGCTCACACGTAACTGCCGGCACGGTGGAGCTTGAAGCCGGCTAGCACGCCTCTGCCGAGGCCCCACAAGCACACAACCTGCGAAAGAAGTGCTCAAAAAATTCTAATGCAAGTCGATGTAACTCTGCACATACCTCTTGAAAGTGTATCAGAGCCACTACTAGTGTCACTGCTTTCCGAGTCACTTGGCTCATTAGTTTCTCTCTTCCATTCATTTAGCAATCGATATCTATTCGCCCGGGACCATCTTTTTTTACATCCATTTAATGGACGTTTGCGTTTCGTGCTCATCTTGATGAAATTCTATACTGTGAGAAATGAAAATATTTTATTTTATGTACGATTAAAATTTTTTTTCAAGTCATATGATAAATCTTGTAAAAATTATTAAAGTAAAACTTACCTACGTTTAACGATGCTGAATGACGAAGCGCGAATAATGATAACGCACAACCGCAAAAAACAACGTATGCTACTGCCAGCGCATGTGGGATCTTTGTTATCGATATCAACATTCAATTTTTTAAAACAAATTCTGAGGTTATCAACAAACTTTTTTTTTCGACCGCCACTTCAGAACAGAGCCGTCAGTGAGATGATAAAAATCGTTGCGAATTGAAAAAAAAAAAATGTTGAGTTACGCATTAGTTGTTTGGGAGAAAACAAGGGAGATAATCACCATCCCAGAAAGCGAAGTGCGACAAGGAAAAGGAAAATTGGGAAATGGCTGGTATCCATGCAAGATCTTAAAGACTAGCGGTAAGTTTATTTTTTCAAAAAGGTTAAGAGTAAAGGCACTGAACAATATTTTTCCAAGCTCAAATCATTTTACTTTAGTAAAAAAGGCAAAATTAATCGCCAATAATTCTTAGTGAATCCAAACAAGAGATTCATTTTTTTTTAAAAGTAAGCAATTTCAACTCTCTTGTTTCGTTTCCTTTTCTTCCGTTCACTTTCCTTTTTTTACGCCAGCTTGGCGGTAATTTTTATTTTTAACAGAAAAATAAAATTCTGATTGAGTTTTTCTTTACATGTAAGGTTTTTTCTCGGTTTTTTTCTTACATCAGTTTCGATTCGTCACTCTTTTTTTTTTACGTTCCGCTCATACATCGAAGAAAAAATAAAATGTTTAACTATCAACATTGAATTTACGGGGAACAAAGAGTTACTAGACACTTACTTCGTGACCACCGATGGAGATGTTCTCACTGCCAACGACGACTCTTTGAGTACCTCGGTTTTTTTGAACAGACAGAAAGAAACCCGAACTGAAACCCGGAAACAGAATCAAATAAAAGAAAAACAGAGCGAAGATGCACATCAATCGATTTTAAATAAAAAGCCTGTTATTGAATCTGATGCCTCTGATGAAGATAATGATAGCTTAAATGGAAGTGAAAAAGAAGATGAAGAGGACAGTGAAGAAGAAAACATTGATCAAGTAGACAGACAAAAAAAAGATAAAAAGCATAATAAACAAAATGATGGTGGTAATACTGATAAAATCAAGAAAAGTAGCAGCGAGAAGGAACAAATAAGCGATGACAATACTCATGATTACACAAATCGAAAAAAATCGAAGAAGTCAGACACGACTGAGATGGAAAGAAAAGCGAACGCGTTTTGAAAGGCAAGTACCAAAACAGCACACTTTCGGCAGAAAATGACAAGAAAGAAACATGCAAATGTGAAAAATTGTTAAAATTTTCTAATGAAGACATCGAAAAAATAAGCCTGATTCTCGAAATTGTACGAACAATAAAAATAGAGGACAAAGAACCGCAAAAAAAATAACAATATAAAAAGCACCTTCACAAACTCCAGCAGCAGCAGTAGCAGCAGCAAATCTCAAAACGATGACAACGATAACGATTATTCCCACTTGACTACAGAAAAAAGCTTGGTACCATTGGGAGAAAAATTGTCGACTAGAGTCATGAAATGGAAGCTCGACATGTACAAGCTATCGTACTTCAAAAAGCCGCGACAAATTGTTCGAAATTTAATGGATGACATTATTGGCAAGGAAAATTTAAGAAAAATGCCACCAACGGGAAAAAACGATTGGGAGCTGATACCAGAAGATATTTATGACGATGTTTTTGAATTTGTTACAATGAATACAAAAATGAAAAAAAAAAATACATAGAACATAATACCGACAAACATTAACATCATTTTGTACCTCTTTGAGAAACAAAAAAGTCAACTTAAAAAAAGGAAGTGACGTCGAATCAGGAGATGAAAGTGACGGTGAAGGCCAGCAAAAAATCAAAAACAGGTCAAGTGACAAAAAAAAACATCAATTAAAGTCGAAAAAATGTAACGCAAAAGATAAGGATTCAAAAAAAGACGAGAATTCATCGGAAAGTAACCATGATTTCGAGATGGCAGAAAAAGAACTGGATAGAAAAAAGATGGAATTGCAAATGAAGCTTCAAGAAGAGCTTGAGAAGATTGAAAACATGAAAAAAATAATCTATAACGAAAAAATGCATATGGGGATCGAAGGAGTTCAAAAAAAAAAAACTTCAAGTGATACTGTATTCATAAAATGTATCACATTCAAAAAACATATTGTTTATTTTATAAGTTTTAGTATGAACTTTAATAAAACTCCATTTAAACTTTGAATAAACTTATAAAAAATTTTTTAAACTTTTTTTTAAGTTACATTTTAGTATAAGCTTCGATAAAACTATTTTTTAACTTTTTTTTAGATACATTTACTTATAATTTAGACAAAGTTAATTGACGAAAAGCCAAAAAGAATTTATTAAATTGAGTAAAAAACTTTTTACAAAGTACAGAGAACCTTTTTTAAACTTGTATTTAAAGTTCTGACCAAGTTTCGCTCTGTCTCAAGAAAAAACTTAAAAAAAACTTTTTCAGAACAAGAACAAAAAAACTTTTTTCTAAGTTTTTTAAACTTGATTTTTTTCACGCGGGATAATACTTTTTTTAACACTACTTTTCTCAGTCTACACACGACTCTCACACCCATCCAAGCTTAGGCACCGCAATCGCATAGCCAGTAGGAAATTGGTGACTAATTTGAAAATTAAAATTAGTAAAATAAATAGATAGAGCAAGCGTGAATGCGCATGCTAAGTGTAGTGTTGGGCATATTCCTGTTGTATCGTAGTGTGTTACTGTGTGCATTATCCTCACATACAATGTATACATGCACGTATGTATGTTAGTGTAACTTGATTATATAGAATACAATGTATACAGAATCATAGATGCAACATGCAACGATTAAAGTGTGCATATATGATGAGTGTGTGTGTAAAAGTACACACTTACTTTCTGTTTTTAAGTGTGTAAGTGTGTACATGTTTGCCTACGTGCGTGTGTATAGAATATAGTGGTTAATATAAATACTATATACTCTAGTTAATATTACTATTTTGATAAAGTACATTAAGAAACAATTTTTGCATGTATAGCAGATCGATGCAGATAGCCAGTATTGATTAAACGGGTATTTATAATATGGTATAACCTCCAAATATTACAAAATTTACCATATTTTTAAAAAGAAGCAAGATATTCGCTATGCGCCTATGTCAGGTGGCGCCGTCGAGTGAGAGAAATTGTCCCTCGCTATGATTGCCAGAATGCATGGAGTCTTATAGGAAAATTTTCTAATAAATTAAAAAGAAGGTCATTAAGAGTGAATTGACCAATTGAATCAGTGATTTCAATGTGTATTATGTTAGTGTACAGTAATAAATTTTGTTTGGTGTTGTCATGTGTACTACAAGATTGGAAAAAATAAAAACATGGATTGCGACTGTGCTAACACAACATATATATGTGTATACACATGCTTGCACTTGTATGGAGCTTGAGAAACACAAGTACTGCTTACATTCATCTATTTCTCACAACACAGTGTTCAATAAAAATTAATACTAATGACAGGTGAGGTTAATTTTTACACATTTATACTACGTTTCCATGGATAACTTGTGTTTTTTTAGCTTTACACAAGTGTAAGCATGTATATGCACTCAAATATGCTGTGTTAGTACAGTCGCAATCCATATTTTCATTTTTTCCAATCTTGGAGTACACATGGCAACACCAAACAAAATTTATTACTGTACACTAACATAAGAGACACTCAAATCACTGATTTATTTGGTCAATTCACTCTTAATGACCTTCTTTTTAACTTATTAAAAAATTTTTCTATAAGACTCCATGCATTCTGGCGATCTTAGCGAGGGACAATTTCTCTTACTCAATGGCACCACCTGACATAGGCGCATATCGAATAGAAAAAATAACGAGTTTTACTGGTTTCCTATAGGGAAAAAAAATATCATGGTACACACAAAGAGAGGTACTGGGTTATGTGAAGATATAACCTTAAATTTCAGTATTTTAAATATTTTTGTATAAAATCAAGGTGGACAATTTGTGGAAAAATTATAACGTATTTGCAAAATTATTACAGATATGTAGAATATTTTTCTCGTTTTTTGCCAAACAACCTTAAAAATTATTTTAAAAAGTTCCCGAGCCTTTCATACATGACAAATATACAGGGAAGACATAAATATACCGCAGTAAGCCGCACAAAAAATACATATTGGACTCACATGTATTTACGAACCTTATATCTTACAGTATACGTGTGATTTCTACATACATAGGAGAACTTTGTTCTTACCGAGGGACTCGAGTCCCACACTTGGGTTTTGTTCTTCTTCTAGAGTTTCCTTAAACTATCACAGCAAGATCATCCTCGTATCTCATGGGTTTCTCTCTAGCATCCTTCATTTTTACCAGGAGTTCATCAGAGCACAGGTTTTAAAAGTAAGGGTACGGAATCAATTTCTGACGGCACCTCTGATGTATTTTTCTTTTCCACTGAATCATACTTGTCTACAATGGTGACTTTTTTTTCCTGGAGGTAACTTTTGACTTAGCCTACTATCTTTGGCAGACCAGCTTTTTTCTTTAATTTTTTGATAGCATTTTTCCAACGCAAGTTATAAAAAGCACCCGACACATCATGTAGAACAGCCAGGGTCACTTTTTTCCGATTTCATCAGCAACCTCTTCATTTTGTTAATTAAATCTTCAGTGCACTTTTCTTTCTTAAATCCATATTGCTCAGATATAAACCAGGAAAAGGAGTCGATTGAAGGGATGTTTCAAAAAAAAAAAATGCCCACCGAGATATTTTGACGAAAATTGGTTCGTCTCCGTGTGCATTAATAATAAATCTGAAATCCAATGGCCAAACTCATGCAGATATTTTTTTGTATTTGCCGTTAAGGTAGCAAAAACGTGGTTTATCGCAATTATAATTTTTTCTTGACTATTTAGAAAAAAACTGTATGTATTAGAAGGATCTAAAAAATGAGACAAGTTGAGTTCCAATTGGTTTTTTGTTTTTTTACAAAATGCAAGAAACTGCTAAAAATCGATGTTTTTTAAATCACGTTTTAAACAAACAATTTTATATCTCAACGTCCTAAATTTAAATTGACCGTAGGTGTTGAGCTGTGGCAATAGAATTATTTTTTTGGAATTTTTTCTTTGCATATTTGTTGCAAAAATATATTTGTTCATTAAAATAGTACGTTACGATACTAGTGCGTGAGAAAGGCGATTGACGCACCCGTGTCAAGACACGCGTGTGTCAATTACCTAACCTCTCGCAAGTGTGGTGTTCACAACTTTTCGACACATTGTGCACGGGGAACGATATTATGAACCATCTAATGTGGCTCTGCAAAGATCTCGACGTACACACGCACTCGCACGAGTACACAGCAGGAGTTGTGAGTCGCGTGTGTAAATCGAGATCTTTAGAGCAACGACAGATGGCTCATAATCGAGGTCCCTGCGCACGGCGTGTCGAAAAAGCACTTTTTCGCAACTTCATTATTAACTTCATTATTAACTCTTCGGTAGGTCATTAACTGTTGTTTTTGGACTCATTCTCTTTCTCAAGAGTTGTAATTCTAGACCTTTTTAATAGCTATTCGATTTTTGCAACTAGGGTCTTGCAAATTGTAATCTTCAATTATTTTATGTTACATTACATGTTTGTAACTTATTTTTCATAAAAATGTTTATTTAATGTACAATAATTTATTAGGCTTAGTTATGAATAAAATAAATAAACAATTTATGTAATAAAATAATTTTTTTAAAAAGTTTTTTAAAGAAACTAGGCAATTAGAATATTTCAGCAGAGTACCCTTCTAATTCATTAACAAATATTTATTCCTACGTATTGAATTTGTTACTTTTACAATAAATAAATGATTTTTTTACAGTTCTTTTATATTTTTTCCAAGATTTTAAAAATTACAAAAAATTTATTTGTACTGTGCGAAGACAATAATTAATTTTTATTGTACTTTTTATTCTTTAAAAATTTTTCCGTTCGTGATTGAAGTGATTTTTTCCCTTAAGGACGTTTTTCACATAGTTCGTGGAGGAAAGTTCAGAGAAATGACAGAAACGCTAATGTGTAGAGTAAAGCTAGCAATTCTTTTTCTTATGTAGATATATGTAGGTATGAAATTTTTTTTGTGTATATAATGATATACATGCTTTTACGCACACCTCATCCCCTCTTTTCAAATGTATTTAAAA